TAATTTTAGGGGCAGGTACATTAACTTCCTCCAACTATATTCTCCTTGTTGACTCAGTATAACATTTCATTATCACAACCATATACTATATATACATGACAGCACAGGTAAGGTGACGAACAAAAAATATTTATGATAAATAATATTATACCATTTTCCTATTCCTAAGCAATGCTTTATCTTACAATATAAGCTTAAGACATAAAACTATACATTCTAGGTAATACGTACGTTTTTCTCGTTGAGAGCAGGAACATTAACGCCCTCCAACTATATTCCGCAAGTTGACTTATTACAATATTCCATAATCACAAACAATCATAAACGTTATATAGACAATACATACATATATATATGGATTAAAAAATAGACAGCACATATATATAAGTAATGAATAATATGACAGGTAGGGCATGAGAAGCAGAAAAGAAATAAGGTACGTATGATCCTTTGTACATGGACATGGTGGACAACTTGGAAAGTTTATATAAAGATAGAATGGGAGACACAATCAACATGGGAAATACGAGCAATGGTAGTAAAGTAGTACATGCTTCTGTCCCAATGCTAGCTCAATCATTTACGATTGCCTTCATAATGACAACCCCTAGCTAGCTGGGCTCAGAGCAAGAACTTCCCCACCAAGCAAATCTCATAACTACACGTGTATATCTAATGTATAGCACAATTAATTCTTCACTTTTCAAATGGGGCAAAAATTAAAATTGAAAAATGTTCAAGTTACATTTCATTTTTGGTTGAAGATAGGAAAAAAACAATGAATGAATGTATGATAATATATAATAATAATTCAATATAATAAGATCATCTTCACGACACACCTCAACTTTCTCATATCACCATAACCACCCTACTATCACTCTATTTGGATCTGCTTCAAAGATCCACATTCACCCACGTCCAACATAAGCTACAATTAATAATATAGCGTTGAGTTGGACGCATGTATTTACACTCCTAGAAGTTGGTCAAGTGCGGAAAATAAAGTTTCGCATTTTGCAATCTCTTAACATGTTTCTATAGAGGTAATTAAATATAACATTTTTTTTTTAAATTTGAAGGCTTTTTTTAGACTTAGAGTGACATGTTCCTTTACCTTAAAATTACCTTAAATTAAATGAATAGATATGTGATTGAAAATACGGGTCGAATCCTTCCTAATCTGACATTAATTTTTTCGCTAGGCCCTATATGATGTTTACGACAAGGCTGATGATATATACACCTCCATTTTTTTTATACATACACCCCCTTTTTAAAAAAAAATTAAATTCCTAAATTATCCTTAATATTATTTAGAATAAAAAAAAATTATTCTGGAAAGTTTTTTCGGAGGTGTATTTGTTCATAATTATGAAAAGTTCTTTCCGGAATACTAAAATTACTATTCCAGAAATAACTTTCCATCGAAATAATTACGGAAAGTACTTTCCATAACACTAAAATTACTATTGCAGAAAGTTCTTTCCAGAATTATGGTAACAAATACACACTGTTAATATTCCGGAAAGAATTTTTCGCAATAGTAATTTTAGTGTTACGGAAAGTATTTTCCATAATTATTTTGACGGAAAGTTATTTCCGGAAAAGTAATTTTAGTATTCCGGAAAGTACTTTCTGTAATTATTTTGACGGAAAGTTCTTTTCCGAAGGCTCATGATATATACACCTCCTATTTTTTTTTTATAAGTACACCTTCTTTATTTTTTTAAAAAAATTATAAAATATTATATATATATTTTAATTTTATACTTTTAACTTTCAATTTTCTACTTTTTTCTTTTTTTTCACACATTTTTTTTTTCTCTTTCAATTTTTACATGCTACCAAAATAGGTGGGGTGAAGGAAAGATAACGGGGTGCATGTAAAAATTGAAAAAAGAAAAAATAAAAAAAAGAAAGATCTGTAAAAAAAAGTATTAAATTAAATGTTGTGAATGTAAAATTAAAAAAAAAAGCAAAAAATTAAGAATATTTTAAAATTTTAATTATTTTTTTTGAAAAGGAGGTGTATATATCATCAATTTTTGAAAAACACTTTTCAGAATAAATTTTTTTATTCCAAATAATATTAAGAATAATTTAAGAATTTAATATTTTTTTTTAAAAAGGGGGTGTATGTATAAAAAAATGGAGGTGTATATATCATCAACCTTCCGACAATGAATTCCCAAGTCCCTCCTAATTGCTTTTAGGCCCATACTGTCCGCAAGCCTATTTCTCAACTGGCCTTAAAGGATGATGGGCCAGAAGAACCGGATGTGTGGGCTGCAAAATTACAGCAAAGCAACTTTGATTATTGACAAATTTGGAGATGTGAAAATTTAAATTTTGAACCTTAACCGGTCTGACCGTAGTCTTACTGGTTCAGAGGTTTGACCAAAAAACCAGTTGGCCCATATCAGATTTTCTGAGTTAGTGACACGTCTGATCAGAGAGACTTGGACGAGCTGTTTCACACCGATTCTTGATTCAATCGATTTGAGTCAATTTTTAAAATTATGTTCACTATTTTAAACACAATTAATATTCGTTATTTTTTTTTCTTTCTATAAAGTAACATCATTTATTATATTTACACTTAATTCTATTTCTCTTACTATATGTCAAATAGGTTTGAGAGCGTTGTATGGTTCAAAGATATCATTATGCATTCTGAGACTGTCAAGTTGGCCATGGCCAGTTGGTGGATATGGAGGTATAGAAACAATATGATTTTTCAAGGTCCGCGTTGGTCAATGCTTTCGGTACCAAGGAAAGTGCATGTTTCCCTTGCTGAATTGAATTGGTGGCTTAATTCTAGGAAAACATGGTTGGAAAACACATGCTGGTCCCCACCGGATTACCTTGGGATTAAAGTTAATATTGATGATAGCTGGTTGGAGGGTCAGAATAGGATGGGGTTTGGAGGGGTTATTCGAGATAGCGTAGGGAGATGGCTGGATGGTTTTGCCAGTTCAGAAATAGAGGGTGATCCTTTACGAGCTGAACTTTTGGCTATAAAGGAATGATTATCTTTTTGCTGGAATCTTGGTTACAAACAAGTGGTATGCGAGGCAGATTGTATTGATGCGATATCTGCGATTGAAGGCGCTATTTGGGAGAGGAATCTTGTTCATAAACATAGAGATATAATCAATCATATCAAAGATTTGGTGGAGAAAGATTGGCGAGTTGTATTTATTGGGATCCCGAGAGAGATTAATCAAGTAGCTCATGTTCTTGCAAGTTGGGGAGCTAGATTAGGGACTCAACATGTAACATGGAGGAGTCCTCCAAATCTTCTGTTTCAAGTATACGGGGAGGATCTCTGTTCCCTACCCTAATTTCATTTCTTTCTTGTTTTTTGTCTTTTAATTTTTCCACATCACCAAAAAAAAAATATGTCAAATAGGTTTTAAGTATCTACAGCAAAATCAAAAGCCTCGAGTCGAATTCTCGTCCACATGGTACTGTCTTAAAATTTGGTGTGAAGGGTACACATTCCAAAGTTAGATTTAAACACGGAACCAAACACTTTGAGAACAATACGCTCACCACTAAATCAAGCAATTTAATGTTATTATTCTTAACAAATAAAATTATATACTATATTAAAATATGTTTTATTCATACTCACTCATGCAATTCAACCAGTGATTCATGCAGTTTGGCCCTCTATTTTTCATGTATTTCTTTGTATAAAAATAAAAAGTAATTTGAACGAGATTGGAATTGAATATAAATAAATGTAATTATTTAACACCTTATTATGACTACTAAACCAACATACTTTATTGTCATACAATGAATTTGAATAATTTATATAACATGTTTTTAATTTTAAATTATATATTAATCTATGCCATTCAAACCAGTTAATAATTTAATTGTTCTGTAAATATTAAATAGACTAATTATTTTGAAGATTTCTTTGAGATTTTGTATAAACTTTATTGAAATTTATAAATATAAAATATATATGATATTAATATTTTTTTAATAAAAATTAGATCATGCGATTCAATTATTAGCCAACCATTCAACCTCTAATTCAATACCCTAATTAATTTGATGATTGGTCCAATTTTCTTAAATATTGATAGGGAGGTGGTCACCAATCATTAATCATGTCAATCAAACTTAAATTTATAAATATTTTCTTAACATGTTGATTAAAATTTGGTTATAACCTATCATAATTTGAATTTAGATTTATGTTGATTTGGATTTAAAAAACATTAAAACCAACACGTATGTCATATTTGAGAAAGTGAGACATGATATGTTGAAAGTGGAACAAGTGTACAATACGTGTGAAAGTGTGGAATGTGATATAGACTGAAAAGAAAGAAGAAGAAAAAAAAGAGTAATTAAGCAGTGTCATTTTGGTTGTATTTGAGAGAAGTGTAATATTTGAATAGTGTCGTTTTAGTCAGTGGCAGTTGTTTGGTTTCTTGTTGGTTAATCGGTTCATCTTTGACCCGTCTTCACAGAACTAAACAGCCACGTGATGTTGTCACCAAAGATGTAGCTATTGAATTGCTTCTAACACCACACATCTGTCTCAGTCGTATTCAATGAGAATGAGGCGATGGTAAAAACAGAACAAGACACCATACACATCGGAGTTTGTAACAATGTCAACGAGAATCTGTCTCACACACTTGTTTCCATCTTTCAGCAAGCAATTGCAAACCATATTCCAGCTTAAATAAAAACATATGTGGTAAATTTACATGGTGTGCCATGATGTAATATTTATTAATGCCATATATTACCTATAAAATCTTTCAATTCCATGTACAACCATTCTATTTTATCTTAATGACTACAACTTTGAGCTCCAAAAGGTGAATACGAGACAACTTTGGATTTTGATTAACCAAGGGCCAACAAATTTTGAACCATTTTGTAATCTTTAGGATAAATGAATCACAAGGCGCATTAAGATTAATTCACACCGTCGTGTGCACAAGTGAGCATAAACACTAAATGTATGCAGATAAATTATATCCTCTGATTAAACACATATTAACAAGAATGTTAACATTTAATTAGCGAAGATAAATTATATCTCCTTATTCAACACATATTAACAGCTGAATTTTTTACACATGTACAAATTTATAGGATAGTAATTGCAGACCATTTCATGCTTTTGACAGTGGAGCCTCATGAACCTGATTCATGCACTAGATGACTTTTAATATGCTAATCCACCAGAAAATGTATCTGTATCATGAAGCAGAGACTCTGTCAGCCAGTAACCATCCCAGCATCCACCAACCCTCTGCCAGTCACACACAAACATGAGATACATACCAGGGTTAAATTAAAGAGTTAATCACCTATACTACACTGGCAACCAATTATATCTTTTAATTGTGTCATGTCACTGTTAAAAGTAAATATGTTTATAGTGACATGACACAATTAAAAAATATAATTGGCTGCCAATGTAAAAAAGCTTTACACTGACCGTGTATAGGTGATTAATTCTAAATTAAATCAAATAACAACAGGCAACTAATAATATACACTAAACTTATGAAATCAATAACTCAAATATCTATCACTGAATTAACAAAAGTACTACCAAAATTAAACACTCATGCAGAAATCCACAGTTCAAAAACAAAAATAAGCCATTATTTTTTGAATAAACTGAACCAAAATCGTATTATGAACATATTTAGATAAGTTTTTCCATAAACACTTTTAAGAAAGGAAAACAAAATTAGTTTCTCTATAAGTTAAAATCAGTTCATACATAAGTTAAAAAACATATTTTGAAGGAGTTAATACTTAATATGAGAGTTTCTCTGAATTAGCTCTAAATTTTAACTTTTAGAAAAATATATTGCATTTTCTCTTCTCTTAAAAGTTATAAATACTCCATACTTATGATCCTAAATGTCTGACAAGTATGAGTATGATGCATATAAGAAAAGATGATCAAACCTGAACCATTGTAAATTGAAAAATCTCCTCTTCCTCTGGTCGACTTCCACGAATCCAAACCCGCTGCTTATATTTGTTCTGTTTCAAGATCATCCGTACATGCAGTTTTAGATACCAGACAAAAAACTAAAAAAGAAAAAAAAAAATGAACAAATTTGTACCTCCTCCACAAACAAAGTGCTCATGATCTTTCTCTCCTTGTGACCTAGTAAGACCCGATACGTGGAATGGTGAAAAATTCGCCTGAACCTTTCAAACTGCACACAAAGAGGTGCAACGTTTAACATCAACATTCAACATACACATACAATATATAACATCAGTAACAGTAATATAATCAAAAGATCAAAACTAACCTGGCCCAAATCAAAGAAAGGCCCAAAATAAGTAGACCTTTCAAATGGATCAAAACCAGCAAACCTATACATAACCTCGATTCCATAGTCTTGACGAGGCTGGTCGTTATACTTCAATGCTTCGAGCTGGTAATGTACAGCATCTTCTGCACTAAACTATACCAAACATTCATTCATTTAACATAAAAAGAAGAAGAAGTGGTATTCAGTAGTTAGTAGTTAGTTACATCTAATCGTGGCCCAAAGGGTCTTTTCTTGCGAGATTCAAACCTGCGAATTGGAATATTCGAGAATCAATTCGAATCCGAATAGTATGAAAAACGAAGGGAGGAGGAAGAATAGGTACCAATCTGCGGAGAGGGAATCGGGGACTTCGGCAGCGGCTCTGAAGCGAGAGGTTCTGATGTTGTTGGAACAGAGTCGAACGGCATGGGGACGAGACAACAGGGAGGAGCCAAACGACATCGTTTTGGACTCTGATTCGAAGGAAAGAGGAGAAGGATTGGGATTAACGTTTTCTCTTCAAACTAGTTCTGAGCATGACGTCTATGGTCTCTCTTCACCGTGCGCGCGCCTGCTTTTCTATTTTCTTACCATTATAGATTATAGATTAATAATTTGCTTTCACATCATAAATGTTTTCATAATTGTTAATGGACAGAAATTATTTTTTCAAATTAAATATATTTTAGGTTTTTCTAAAACCAATATCCTTAAGTTAAGACACATTCTTCAACTTTGTGTATTAATTAACCAATTTTATATATATTATTTTTAAATTAATTTATATTTTTTTTATAAAAAACATATAAATTTTTTTATCAAAAACAATCATATTCAAGTTAAATAAAATTATTATAAATGATAAAATTCTCATTTTGACTAACACATTTGTATATTTATAACTCGAATTTAGACTTTTGACTAAAATGAAACAATATGATCCATGTACTTTTTTATTCTAATTTTTAATTTAATAATATTAAATGCATGAAGTAATTAATTGTTAATATATTTTTTACTTAGTGGTTCTTCAATTTGAAATCTAAATATGATTGTCATGAAAGTTGAAAGAATAGTTTTGTGAATAGTAATGGTTATGTTTTGCTCAAATTCAATTTTAAATGAAAAATATCTACAATTTTGTACAAAAGGATATTAATTTAAGATTATGTAATCTTAATCCCTAACAATTATAAATAAATATATATATATATATATATATAATTTTTATTTTTAATATTTTATAAATTAAAGAATATAAATAAAAAAATGAAATTATCTATTTTATAATAAATTTTTTCTTCTCACAATGCTTATTATAGGATGGGAGAGAATATGAGTGTTTTGAGATTCATGCAATTTGTAATAACACAAACAATGAAATTAATTTTATTATGAGGATTGTGTGATGACACTTTAGTAAAGGTGACTCACTAATTCAACCTATCCAAATCAATCCAAATACGTTTTAGTGAGTTGTGTTGGATAATTTGTCCATTAACCAATTATAATTGAGTTGAGAAATGAGTTAAGGGGATCGCTACCCGATGAATCCAAGCTAACTCAATTTATAATAAATTATTAAATTAAATTAAAAACACTACATGTAACATTGTGAATAGTGCTATTTATTTAATTTTATTAAGTAGCTGATTTATATGATTTGTTTTAATGTTTTAAAACATTAAGAATTAAGGAATTCTCACAAGTTTATGTTGTTTGGGAGTTATTGTAGGTTAAGATTATTATTGGCCAAGTTTAGGGGAAGGTATATAAAGTTTTCTCATGACTTGAACTTCATAAGTTTATTTCCTTAAGAAGTCTAGAAAGAAGTTAGAGATATAGGCTTTAAAGCCAGGGAGATTCTTTTTATCATTCTGATTCTGTAGGAGCATTCTAACCCTTCCTTGTAGTCAAGTAGTGGTCTTAGATTGAAGATTTTAAGCTTTGAGTGTTGAAGATCGAGAGTTAAGGTCATGGTGTGACAAGAGCTCGGAGTAGCATTCTTTGCCATTCATCTTTTTTCTTTATTTTTTCTTAGTGATTTGAGGCAATGAAAGTTTGTAGGTCGAATATTGTTGTGTTGTATGTATTGATTATCGTTTGAATTCATTAAATTTATGGTTGTGTTGCTGATTTGAGAGGTGAAAATTTTCTTAGTTTAATTTTTGTTGTTCTTGGTGAAATGAGGAGAAAATAGATGATGTTGCATTCTTGATGGTTGCATGTGGTAGATTTCTTGATTTTGGAGTAGCTTATAGTGTATAGATGTTGTTTTTATGAGTTGCATGTTGGATTGGTTGAAAGGATACATGTAATGAGTAAAAATGTGATTATACCACATGTGAAAATCATCTTTGCATCAAATGCAACTTAATGATGTCGGGCATGACGCAAGTTAGAGTCTTTTTTCTTTACTGACGTTAGATGTGGGATAAGTAGCGTTAGGTAGGGGTGTTTATGGATTAGATTGTATCGGTTTTGAGGAATAAAATCATCTAATCCAATCACTTCAGTTTTGTTCATTAATCTTTCAATTGGTTTGATTTAAAAATCAAATTGAGTTCAATCCAATCAAAATATATTTCGGTTTATATTAGATAGGTTATTGATTTTTCAAACATAACTATAAAATGTTTGTATGAGCCAAAAAGTCTATAATATTTTTATGTGTAATTTTGAAAATTTTAAATTTGGTTTAAGTATTTTTTAAGTTTATTTAAGTATAAAAATAATTCAAATCCAACACACATGTTGTTCTTTGAATTATATATTTAAATTTGGATTAAGTATCTTTTTCAAGTTTAATTAAGCATAAAAAATAGTTCAAATCCAACTGAATTCATTTTCACTCTTAATTATTAGTTCATCTCATCTTATCAAATATTATTTAATGTTTTGTATTTGGACTTGAAACTTGTACCGCAAATTTTTCATTAATCCATTTTTTTTACATTTAATATCATATTTTTAATAAATTATTGACTCGACTTGATTCAACATGACTTTAGTTAGTTTGATTTAAGTTAAATTAATTTATATGTATATATATATATATATATATGAAAAGAATGTTTTATATTCTTAGAATAAATGTATTTAAATTTATTATACTTAATAATTCATATTTTATATTAAATTTTAATAATTTAATTATTAAATTAAAAAAATTTAATACATAAATCAAGTTTAAATTTTTAAAAAAAAATTAAAATTAAAATTTTTTTATTATCAATTTAGATTAATGAAATAAAGTATCAAATAATTTTTTAAACAAAGATTTATAAATTATATTTATGCATTAAAAAATTAATTTAATAATTAAATAATTAAAATTTAATATAAAATATAAATTACTAAATAAAATAAATTTAGGTAAATTTCTCCTTATGAATGTATATATGTACATGTAAAATCTAATTCGGTCGATTAAATTTAACCGGCTTAACTTTATTTTTTAAAAAACTTGGCATTTGATCATATACTTAAGAACAAAAGGCAATCATTATAGACACTAATTTTGGGAGCAACTACTTTGCCTGGCTTCTCATTCCCTTTGCATAATGCCATCCAAATCCAAGAGCTGCTTCCCATTTTCAAACCCTGCAAATGGACAAATTGGAGAAAGATTACTTTCACTTCGCATTTTGATCAAATCAACAACTACTCCTCCATTCATCAAATACCGGAATTAAATAAGTTTGCTAATGCCTACTTCCATTTTCTTTTAAGTATCACAAAACAATAAATGTAATAATTCTGTTTTCATAAAATAATTTTAAATTTTCATATTATATATATTTTTAATATTTTTACTCCACAGTAAATACATACTAGGTGTAGATGTGCAAATAATTCAAAAGTTAGATAGAAAGTAAAGTATATTTGAAAAAAATAATGCTATCTTGAATTTTAAAAATGATAAATAAAGTAAAAATATTTTTTTTCTAATAAAATTAATATCTTGAGTGACCGAAGTACTTTAAAAGAACTAAAATTACACAATTAAAATTTGATTAAAATTATTTAATTAAATTTGAAAACCTAAAATCACACGACTACCCCCTAAAAGAAAAATCAAACATGTATTTAAATCTTTCTTTTTTCATCGAAACAACGAAAAGTGGAGGAAAAATCTTTTTCAAACACAGTAATATTGTGAGTGTGGAGAAAGATTATGTTCGCTTCGCAATTTTATAAAACTAATAAGCACTAATCTATTCATCAAAAATTGGATTAAAAAAGTTTTACAAAGAGAAAGATAAAATTAATTAGAGAGAGTAACTCTCTATTTAATAATTTATGATGTATGTTAAATTTTTATTATCTAATATTTAAATTAAAAAATTTAATGTATGAATAAAATTTACAATTTTTTTTTCTTAAAAATGAATATTTTATTATATAAATTTAAATAAACATATAAAATATTTTTATGATTATCTATGAATTTAAGTTAAAAATTTTAATGTATAGATTAAATTAAAAAAATACACGAATATATAAAATCAAAAGTATTTATTATTTTATTGTATTTAAAAAAAAGTCCAGATTTTGACGCTTCATTTAGAAGTAGAAGCCAGTCTAGGAAGTATTCTAGATTCTTTTACTTTTCCTTTTTTTTTTGTAAAAGTGGAAAGTCATAAACATTGATATTCTTATATTCAACATTTGATTTTTCAACAACTAACCTTGATATGCAGGCAATAGGTGACCAAACAAAACCAACACGAAACACATAACCATAATGAATTAAATAATCAGGAAAGTAAATAAGTAAATAATAGAGGGTTAAAATAGAAATTAAAAAACTTACTGCTGGTATTCTACGTTAACGAAGGACGCAGAAACATTTGCGATGGCCTGGAAGGCAGTGGTGGAGAGGACCATGGTAGTTCCCCCTAGGGAAGGCCTGGAAACCGTTGATTGCGCTCGATCCACAATCTTGATCTGAATCGTCTGGGCAGGAGTGCAAGTTCCAGGAGCGACGGCGCTGATGCAGCGCAGCTGATACTGCCTCCCACACGCGGCACCGTTGTCCCATATAGCTTCCCCTGCCGCAGCGAACATGTTACTCGAGGGGAACTGCGATGCGTCTCTACCGAAACACGCTGTGGCTGCACGTGCCATCACAACACACATTAATTCCACAAAGTTTTAATCAAATTGCATATGGAAACGAAGATTAATTTGTTTACGCAGAAAGGGAGGGCCATATTTGGCTGCAGTGCCAACGTCAGCTAGGGAGTGGTGGATGATGAACAGTGTTGAGAAGACCAGACGAGAGAGGATTAGGCGAAGGAGGGAAACATGAACCTTAGCCTTAGGCATTGCTGCAATGTCGAAATTAAGGAATGAAATAACGAACGTTGTTTGGATAAAAATTATGAATTATGTGCAATGTCAGCGCTGAAAAGTGAAAACTATGGTCAACACAACGGCGCTAGTATTCATTTCCACGCTCATCAACTAATCACATGCCTTTTATATGCATTAAGAAAAATACTATTTTGATTTTGATAGTTGAATAATTTATTAATAAATAAATAAATAATGATTAACATATTAAATATCATTTATTTTAAGATTTTTTTAAAAAAAATATTAAAACTACGATCATTGTGTAACTTAGAGAGTATTTAATAAATATAATATTTAATAAATTTTATAAATATCAAGAGTAATTCATTAAAAATATCATATTTAATGAAAAAATAAAAAAATCTAATTAAAACCATTAATTGAACTTATAATATATTAATCACAATATTTGCTATATAATATATGATAAACTTAAATAATACTATTAAATTATATTATATATATATATATATATATATATATATATATATTAATCTATGAGATTGACTTGGTGATAAAGAATCTAAGTACTTTGCATAAAATTGTTGAAGGACAACTTTAGGCCAAAGGTTCAATTACTAGAGTCAAGCATACATGAAGGATTTACTAGCTAGTTTGAAGGTTAGTGGGTTTTCTAGGCCCAAACTATTCTTCACATGGATCATCACATCTTGAGACTTGGCTTAATAGAAGTGTACATAGGGTATTTAGAGTAGGACTATTTCATTGTATTTTGTAGCATTGTATTGTGGACATTTGAGGTCAAAGACTTTATATAACCAATATTGGTCTCATTTTCTTTGTCTTATTATTTTAAGATTTTTGTATAGTTTTTTTTCTTGTATTTTGGGTCAAGTAGTATAGGACATAAAAGGGTTAATATGAATCTTACGTGCATTAAAATGTAATTTAGGTTAGCATTTCATTTGAATTTGGTGCATGTGTGATTGGTTCTGCCTAGGTGTCATTTACATGCTTCAAACTCAAATGAAATGCCTTCTAAATTACATTTCAAATGCTCTAGGTTCATGTGAGCATGCATGGTGAGTGTGACCAATCAAGGTGACACCCAAATTTGAATTTGAAATTCAAATTTGGGTAGCTAGAGTTTAAGTAACCATACCATGGTTTATTTGAACACTATAGTTTAACCTAGCTTGTCTCATAAGCCACTCATCTCCTATATATACCTTTCTCACGTGTAGCTAACCACTTTTTGATGATATTTGAGATTTCACTTCAAAATTTTCATTTTCAAAAGTCTCTAAAACTTGGAGAAAATATTCTCCTTACAAACCTTCATAAAAGAATCATTCATTTATGCCTCTGGTTCCTTTTTTCACCAAAACAAAGTTCTAACTCTATTTTTCTTACTTCCTTTTGCACGTGGAGACTTCAAGAAGATTGTGGAATCAAGGAGGAGTCTAGAGAAGAGTCATGCCTTCATCTTCTCAAGACAACTCCATCAGTTGTGTATGAGAGAGAAAGAGAAAATGCATTATACATTAAAAAATATTATTATTTAGTTTATTTATGAAACACATTTAAAAATTAAAAGATATAAATTATAACATTTTATTTTGTTGAACATACAATTTTATTTATAATTTTTTTTCTGTCATGAGTATTTTCAACTTATAATAAATTAAAGATTAATCTTGTTTGTGCTATTATAACTGCATCTAGTTTAAAACACTATCAAGCACATTTTTTTTTGTTTAAATAAATCATTCCTAAGATATAAGAGTCTCAAATGCTTAATTCATAAATATTAATTTTGATGTTTATTAAATGAAAACACTTATTAACCATACCACTTTCATATATATATAGAGAGAGATTGCTAATATATTCTCACCTATTTTTTAGTTAGAGTATGTTAGTAACCTACACCAAAATTTTAGAATAAAAAAATTATTAAATTTTTTATTTAATTAATTTGTGTAAAAAATATTATAATAATTTAATTTAATTTGTTTTGGTTAATTTGTATCAGAGATGACATTAATGTATATATATTCAAGTGTGAATACTTTTTATCAAGTCATATAAAAGAAGTGCAATTGAAAAATCTTCGGGCCACCGCTTGAAATATAAATTGAAAGGTAAGATATTAATTTGTTTTCCAAATTTAAAGTTAGTGAATGCTTGATTTTACATTTTTTTTACAAGGATTTTCCATTGTATTCTCCTTAATTATGTTGAAATGTCATTAAAATTAACTAAAATATAATTTTTTTGTCCCTTTTTTTATTTTTTTATTTTTAGTCTTAATTGACCTCCTAAATTTAAAAAGTTAACCTTTAATCTCCTAAAATATATTTGTCAGACTAATTTATCTTAAAAATTTGGTTAATCTAGTAACATATATCTTGGTGTGTAAATGTCACATCAACTTATAAAATTAACATCATTAATATAAAAAAAAAATTAACATAATAGCTAATTTGAGTAATAAAAGTATTTTAAGGGCCTAAAATATATTTTTTTAAAAACTTTAGAAACAAAGTTGAAACGTAAAATAAAAAATAAGGAATCACAATTCTTTTTTAGTAATTAAAACTATAATTGATTTTAGAATAAATTTTATATGTTTAGTCCAACATGATTTAGAATAATTTTTACATGATAATTATGTCACACATTAAAAAGATGATGAAAAGGAACAGTGTTTTAAAAGTTACATACACAGAACAATCTTAAAATGTGTACATAAAATAAATATATTGTCTTTTATTAATAGTTTAGATTCTATTAACCTACTTTTAAATAATAAAAGCAAGTAAGTATCAAAATCAAAATATAATAATAATTAGCGACCAAAATCATACTCATGAATACCTGCAAGTAAAATTTAATTGTTATAAATCGAAAAGACGAAAATTAATATTTAAATAAATACCTGCTTATTAATAGGCGAGACTGTGACTATGAGAACAAAAAAGTAAGATACTCATATATGTAAGTACTTGCATTTTGAAATCATGTAAATATTTTAACCTATACATAAATAAATTGATATTTTTTTAATTATAATTATATTTTTTTAATACAAATATATGTTATAAAATTATTATAATATATATATTTTTTAAACAATTTATTTATGTTTATTTAAAATTTTATATTCTAACAAGTATCTACGAACACTCATAAATATTTACAATATATATATATATATATATATAATTCGTGGATTCTTATATTATGAGTTAATATTCCTCATTCTAACCCTAAGCGTGTGGTTCAACGATAAGGGTTGATCTACGCTTAAGTAAGGTCAGAGGTTTGAATCCTGCCTTGTGTATGCAGTCGCGTTAAATCTTGGAACCAGCTATCTCACCTTTTAGGGTGTCTCCCTCGTAGCGAGGAGATTAGTCACTACTATCGGCGGTGGATACTCTAGGGACGAATAAAAAAAAAATACTCCTCATCCTAGTAAATTTTTATCTCTAATTAAAAAATAAGAATTTGAAAAGTTTAGAAGGTAGCACACGTGTGACTAAAACAACGAATTAAGCTTAAAGATGCGTTGTCATATTATTTAGTATTTAATTGGTGGAAAATTGGAGATCTCAATTCTCTTGATAAACTGCCTTTGCCGACTGAATTCTGAATTCTAATAACATGGCCATGGAAGCATTTATTGCTCGTCGCCTTCTTAAATGTTGCATTGACTAATTCACAGATACATGCAAATTGATGTCGGCCTGCACTCTTGGGACAGCTCTATGTATTCAATGAGACAAATTATATATATATTTTTGGTTATTCTTTGATTAAAATTGAAATTTTATTTTGATATTATATATTTATATTTAATATAAAATTAATTACATTTACTCATATTATTAAAATAAAACATTAATTTTGATTGAAAAATCATACTGTGATTAAATTTTATCTTTCATGAATATGGAGTTGGGACTATATATAAAGAAGATGGGGGTAGGGATGGAGATGGCTTCAAAGAAAGTGCACAGGGTGCAGTGTTGAATTTCACCATTAAACATAATAAAGTTTGATTTTATATTTTAATTTATAATGTAAGAAAAAGAAAAAGAAAAATGAAGGGATGAAATTGTTGCAGCTGAAGATAGAATTGCAGAGATAAAGGGGATGAACGAACCTGGTGGGTGATGGTGTTCACTTTACAGCGCTGTGGGGAATGAAAGTCCAGCGACAACAATATTCGATGTTAAGGAAGTGGACGAGTAACTCAAATGAAACCTATTTATGGACATTAAATCACTTTCTTAAATGCTAGCTAAACCCAACGCTCATTAACCAATTAAATCTATCTACTTTGTACCGACTAATTTTTGTCTAAATATTTAATTTGACGATTTTTTTTAAACACAAAAAATTTAAGCTCGATTTTTTTTTAAAAGGAGAATGAGTTTAATATCATTTAAATAAGAGTTAATCATCCATATACCGTCAGTGTAAATTTTTTTACACGGACAATTAATCATATTTTTTAAACTATTTTATTTTATTTTTATTTTATTAAATAAACAACTGACATGACACTATTAAAAGATATGATTAGTTGTCAGTGTAAAAAAATAAAAGATATTTTATATTGATTTTGATAAAAAAATAATTATCAACATTTTAAATGTTAGTGTTGTAAAAAGGACTAAGGGAGTATATAAGAGAAAATGGTAAAAATAAACTTTCTTAAGCATATTCAAGTACAGGAGAAAAAAAATGTGATTGAAATAAAGAGATTTTATTAAAAGTGACCAATATAAAATTTTGTGGTAAATATTAATTATCAACAAAAAAATCAGTTAATATTTTATATTTATATTATGATAAATTTATAGTGAAAGTTAATTGATATTGTTAAATATTATCAATTATTTAAATTAGTAATTTCAAATTTTAGAAAGATAAAAAATATTTTTTAATTGAGACAAGAAAAAATATTTATTTTATAAAAATTAGAAATATATTTAAGTATAATTTTAAAAATAAATTATACAATTATATTTTTATTTTTAAAATAAGTAAATCCAATTCAATGGATTCATATAATGGTTAGATACATTATAAAAAAAAGTTGTGAGAAGTGATCTCTTTAGTAAAAAAAAAAATTATTTGATTTTTGTCTTGTATAAAAACTGATTGAATCAACAATAATTACTTTATTTCAAGTAAGATTAATCTTTGAATCAATGGGTGCATATACTCGTGATAGAAAAAAAAATCCTAAACTTAGATAAAATTATTAACCTCTTTACTAAGGAAATAAAAATCGGAGTTAAGTATGCGAAATTAATACGGCAAGGTATTATTATCTTATGACATTTGCTTGCAAGGAATACATTGCTTGAACAATTGACTCTAATCTTTTCGATGAGAAGGAATAATTAATTATTGGATATTACATGTTTGTGTAAGTAACGTGCGGGCAAGGAACCTTCTGCCAGGGAACAAACTATTTAAGTTTTTTTTTTATGCCGGAGAAATCTAAACGACAAAGGAACAAAAAAGGGAAACAAACAATTATGTTCGGACTCTACGGAGGGTGACATTGTCTTAAACATCACTAAGTCAAAACATTGTTAAAGAATTATGACAAAATTAGAGCTATCTGGGTCAGTTTGGTTTATGTGAGCGAGTCCATCTTGATTCACTTTAAAAATGAGTCAATTCAACTCGACTTACTTTTGATTTTATCAAAAAAAGTTTGGTCCGGCCCAGTCCATCATAGGTTGGTAGGTTATACGAGCCAGCCCACCAGCCCACAAAAAAAAAAAATTATCAACAAAATTCAAAATTTTAAATTAATTATAAATTAACATAATAGTAAAAAAATTAGCATCATTAATAGTCATAAGTCATAACTCATCATACAAAATTAAATACAAATCATGATAAAAGTCTAAAATAAAAATTTTCAATATCCCATCATACAAAATTAACTACAAATCATACTTAAATTTTTATTGCAAAAAAAAATGGTGGGTTGGTGGGCTATCCAGCCCACCACGGGTTCAGCCCGGGTGGCCCAGTCAAAGTGGGTCAGGTTGAGATATATCCACTTACTATAAAACTTTAATTTTTTTTTGCCCGGCCTTGCTCATTTTCAAGGTGGGCCGGGTTGGCCCACGGGTCCCGACCCGCTTTGATGGCTCTAACAAAAATTCCATAAATGAAGACAGTTGTTGTTAGATATTTCATATTTTATAAGTCAATTAACATACTGATTATCTTCACAGTATATAGTGACCAAACTTTATTATTGAAGAATTCCGTATTTTGAACATGATAGATAAACAACTTTTTGACCAAAGTAAATAAAAAAAATTCTGAAAATAAATGTTTCAAAAATAATTTATCAAAATAAATTATTTTGAACATTACACCATTTTAAAGAAAATGTTGCTGGTCCCGACACTATGCACACAAAATACAAAAGCATAAAAATGATATGCACATAAAGTGTCTAGAAAGTAAGTATTTTGTGTATATTTTTTAATTGTATACAAAACATTTACTCCTCTAGACATTTTCTGTGCATTTCAAAAATGCATATAAAATTACCTACCCTTTAAGTGTTTTGTGTATAATTTTGACATGTACACAAAAATTTATCCCCTAGATATTTTCTGTACATTTTTTAACCTACGAAATTATTTTGTCAATGAGATTTGGATTGTTATTTTACCTATAGTATGAGATAAAATTTTGCAAGATTCCTAACACGTGAACAATGAACTTGACCAAATTGATGCAATCTTAATCATTGATTTTGTCGGTAAGACTTGGACTATTACTTTACTTGCAATAAGAGACAAAATTGTGTGAGATTCTTGACATGTGAAAATAAACTTGACCAAATGGATTGATGTATTAGAGCACGTGTACCACAACCCCAATCCACAACATCAAGATTCTTTTGATTTTGATGCGATGAGGGAGAACCTTGCAAATTGTTTGGAGGTTTATTAAAAGGTCCTGATGGAGCTACTTGGAGGAGATTGAAGTTCCTTCTTGATTTAGAGAGAAAATTCAGATTTCATTTCTCAAATTTGTCAAAAGTGATTACAAATGAAGTAATTAGAAATATATAGGGAAAGGTGGCTTGTAGGAGAAGCTATCCTTACCCATGGTTCACTAGGAACCATGGTAGGGTAAGATTTAAATCCCAAGGTTTAGGTAGCTTGTAGGAGAAGCCAACCTTGACCATGGTTCACTTAAGAACCATGGTAAGGTTGTCTTAACCTTCCATGGCTCTCCAAGAGGCTTGGTTATTAAGTGGCTCTTTAGTAGCTCACCTCCCTCCAAAGTTCAATTTGTACTCTTAGACCTCCAAGTGCCAAGTCTAAAACACTCCATAAAAACTTTATTTTCATAAAAACTACTTTTGTGTGGAAAAATCTTCTTGATTTAAAATGTTTCAAAATTCCTCCCATAGTGAAAGTGATGGCTCTCCAAAAAGTCTTTCTTATATTACTAAAGAGCTTAAATCACTTAAACTGGTCTTTAATATCATCCCATTCCTCTTGGTTCTTTCAGTATATCACCTCTTGGATTCCTTGGCCTTGGCCATAGTCTACCAGGTCCTTAGGGTCATTTACCATTGTATGTTTGGCTCCACCTCCACCACAACAAGAGTCATATCTAGTGATTGTCAATAATATTGGGGTAAGTCGATGTGAAGGTTAAGGTCTTAGTCGTTGACGTATGTGAGTTGAACACCAACCATTGGAGTTGTCATTGCCATTGAGTGAAACCCTAATCAAGACTTATTATGCTACTTCAACGTCGCCATATGGTAATTTCACACAATATGTATGTCTTTTTGGACATGGTGCGCTTGCAGATGACTTGGCGGTAGTGAAGACAACCTTTGTAACGGTGGTTTTGTCCCACCTTCATCATTTGATGTAGTTCATCTCCCGACTACGAACTATGTGGCCTCATTGTCCGATGGCTATGTTCTTGATATGCAAGCATCGTTTACTCCTACTTCATATGTTGGAAATATGATGACCCTATCTGTACCGTATTTTCCTTTCAAAATGCTGTATTTCCAGAGTTATGATGTTTGTCTTCATTATGATTTATTGTTCGTTGTGTATTCATCTTTAATCGTGTTTCTATTTTGAATGTATTTGTTGTTTAATGAAGATGTTTCAATAAAGACATGTTAGTTTTTACTAATACTTTATGATGTGTTTGGTGTAATTTGACCATTTTCACTGTTCACATGTTAGGAATCTTGTAGGGTGTTATCTTATACTGTAGATAAAGTAATGGTCTAGATCTCATCGACCAAATCAACAATTAAGATCATACAAATTTGGTCAAGTTTATTATTCACATGCTAAGAATCTTGTAGGGTTTTTTTTTTCTCTCTTATTAGATGTAAAGTAACAATTCAAATCTCACCGAAAAAATGATTAGGATCGCATCGATTTGGTCAAGTTCATTGTTAATGCATCAGAAATTTCGTAAAATTTTGTTTTATATTATAGGGAAAATAATACTTTAGATCTCACTAACAAAATCAATGATCGAGATTGCATTGATTTGGTTAAATTTACTATTCACGCATTAAGAATCTTGTAAAGTTTTATCTCACATGATAGGTAAAGTAACAATTCATATCTCATTGATAAAGTAATCCCTTAAAGTAAAAAATGTAAATAAAAAAAAACCAAAGAATAAGCGTTTTGGGTACATGTAAAAAATATACACAAACATCTAGGTAGGGGTGTGCAAAAAATCCAAATTGATCCGAACCGATCCATAACCGATCCGATCCATATTGAAAAATCCGATCCATTTTGAAAAAAAATCCGAACCGAACCACTTTATAAAACCGGTTCAGTTATCCGATCCATTTTTACAAAGTGGATCAGTTCGGTTCGGTTTGGTTTTCTAAAAAAACCGATCCATATATGAGTAAAAAAGTGGATAACTGCACCGCACTAAACCGATCCAATTTCAAAAAAACCGATCCATATTTTAAAAAAACCAACCCGATCCACTTTATAAAAAATGGATCGGTTAACCGATCCACTTTTATAAAACGGTTCAGTTCGGTTTGGATCGATTTTTTGAAGCGATCCATGAACACCCCTACATCTAGGGGATAAACATTTTATGTACATTTTAAAAATGTATAAAAAATGTCAAAGGGATCGGGCATTTTTTGTGCGCTTGTATTTTATGCACAAAGTGTTGGAGAGTAGTAACATTTTCTTTAAAATGGTGCCAACATGTACAAAACAATTTATTTTAGTAAATTGTTTTTTTTAAAAATATTTTTGAAATTTTTATTTACTTTATCCAAAAAGCCCAGATAAACTAACAGATAAAATAATAAGTAAAAAAGTGCCATTATTGCTCATGCTGTTTTGATGAAGCCAATCTCTTACATTAACCAAATAAAACTCCGTACTAGGCAGTCCCTTAAGAGATTATCAGAGATTCTTCTGAGTATTTAAGTATTTAATATATTATATTTCAATTTTCAAACGAACGGGCAGAATTTTTTAATGGATTCAACCGTGGGTATGCCAAAAATGTTTTTTATTTTGATTTAATTGTATTTTTGTCTTTTATTTTTTAATTTCATATTTTTTTCACTCATTTTTCATTTTTATTATTTTAATTCTGTAATTTTAGTTAATTATTAACTTAAGATTTAATATTTAATAAAAATATTGATTGGACACTTTAATCAATGTATTGTCACCACAACACATCTGTTTTTTAATTTTGATTTAATAGTTTATCTTTTGAAGCAATTTAATTTTGGATTTAACATCTTTATTTTAGAGGGGAATTCGCAAACATTAAATTGTTACAACTTCGGCCTCAAGACTTTAAAATAAAGAACATATCACATTCAGTTATTTTTTTCTCCATTAAGTTTTTTTTATTATTAAAAGTTTCAGTTAAGTTGTAAAAAGTTATTTTTGATAGGTAATAAAATTATGCTTTTAATTTAAAAACAGCTTTAACTAAAACCATAAATTGTCACAATCTAAAATTAAGAGGATGTCTTCAATTAATTTTTATTAAGAATTTTCTTATAATTTTGTTAATATTAATTAACTTATTTGTACTAAAATGTAAAATGTTATAATAGAAAAATTAACTTACAACGAAGTAAACAATAAAATATTTCTATAAAAAACAATTTTTCATAATTTATTCATTTTTTTATTATATATAATAAATGTCTCAATTATATGTAATTAAAAAAAAGAATTAGATATACAAAAATTAAAAAGAAACAAATAGATTAACCAAACAAAATGGACCAACCCATACTCAAAAAGGAAAAAAAAAGAGATAAAATTATAATGGATTAAATTAAATATCTAAGTAGACATGGGCTTGGCCCCAAACAAGAGAGTCCATAATGCAAGTGTAAATAATAGTACATAAAAATAAAACAAATTACTAAAAAAAGTCTAAAAAGGCAAAAATAGAAAAACTATTACGCAACTTCCCATAATAGACATGAGTTTTAAATCCTGACTCTTATAAATAATAAAATAAATAAATTAGAAAGAAATGCACAACTATTTAATATTTGTAAGATTTTTGAAGGAGATTATCTCTTATTCAAATGAAAAATACTACTTGATAATTAAAAAAAAAAAAAAAACTTCACGCAATAGAGAGGGAGGGTCACGAAGAATTAAGATCAAAACACTAACTTAAATTCAAGGGTTAAATAAACTTTCAAATCTTATTTCAATTTTTGCTACGTTTACATGAACCAATTAATGTTAGTCACTAGCCGTTGATTAAAAATTAATAAGTAGCTTGATGGCAGTATTGGATTTTTTAAATTTTATATAAAAATGTTTAAAATTTAAAATATACATATTTAATATCCCTTAGTTTTGTTGTCTGTTTACATGAATTTTAACTTATGTTTTGTTCATTTCTATAATTTTCTTGTTTATTTGAATAATTTTTTTTCTCTTGTACATTGTTATGTTTTTCTTTTGTTATTTTTTTCAAATTATCTTTTTTTTTTCCTAATAAACAAATTTTATAATTTAGTTTGAACAATTTATGAAAATAAACATGTAAAAATATTTTTTAACTAATTATATTTTTTTATTATCGATTTTTCATTAATTTATATGCCTTTTTCATTATTTATATGCTTATTCACATAAGATTTACATTTCATAAGTCGTTGGAGTAAAATTACATGTGTATTTAATTAATTATATTTATCAAATATTTTATAAATGTTAAACTTTAAGTATGCTTTTAATTCATAATTTAGCGTATTTCTCTCTCTCTCTAAGTTTAAGCTTTCATAATTAAAAAATACACGTTTTAGATACCGAAAATATCTTACCGATAAAAATAAATTCAGTGAATTATGTAACATCAGTTAATATCAATACGACGTTTTCATAATAAAGACATTGGATTGATCGGTGAATTTTTTATAACAATTTTTTTATAAGTGAATTTTGTATTATAATAGGTTTATTACAACGTTTAAACAAAAAGACAAAAAATAGTTTTTTTTTTTTAAATTACATACATTAATTAATTAATTTTAAATTTGAAAAAGAATTCTAAAATATATATAAGCTTAATATTATCTATTATTTATAAGAAATAATCTTATAATATAACGCTGGCTTAAATATTTTTAATCCTTATTTTGTTCGTTCGTAATTTTTAAATAAGATAAAGGATAAAAAAAATACATTTTTACTTGTAATAATAATAATTTGTGATTGTGATAGTTCCGAGTTTCCAATGGCATGTAAAACTGGAGTCGGCGGCTAGATTCCTGGTTTTGTCTTGAGGGGCTAATCGCTATCATCTGCTCTTTTTCTACCATTTTCAATCACCCCATCAAATCAAATCAATTTTATTTTTCTTTTCTTTTCAAATGTTAATGCGAAATTTCTAGTAGCTCCATTTCTGGAATCAATAACCATGGTTCTCCCTCAACCTGAACTCTGAATTTCGAAGATCTCAGTAATACCACTTTGTTCTCCATGGCTACTACATACCCATTCGGAGTCTCTCTTCACTCCCAGGCTCGCAGAGTGGACAACTCAACTTCCATCTTCCCCCTCCACGTGGACCTCTCCACTATTTCTATGTGCCCTCGTTCTGCTTCCAAGGTATCTATCTCAATTTTGTTGTTTCATGGGTTGCACAGAACACTATTGGCTTGAATTTCATTGCACCATATGTCCATGCTTGTTGTGTGGGAGGATTTGTCTTGTCTGATAAGTTAAGTTAGTTAATTCTTTTGCCATTAAGGTAGGTTCTGTTGACTGATGGAATATGGTTTCCGGTGAAGAATTGTGATGCTACCAAATGTTAAGAAAGAGGATTTAGGCGGAAGAAAGTGCGTAATGTTGATGTCATTGACTCTGGGAAGTTTCTTTGCTTTCTAGTGAAGAATAGTGTTTTTTATGCAAGTGGGATAACTTGGGTGACTCAATGTGGTGTTTAACACAAAAGGGGCATTGATGGAATGTGCATGGGAGCTTTCGATGCCCTAGACTTCCATACCCTGTCTTTGGAATTGCAGGGAAAAGGAAGGTTTTATATATATAATTTTGTTTGGTTCAAAAATTCGGAGGAGAGAGGAGAGAATGGAGGCGGCTAAAATCCCTCCTCACTTAATCTGGCTCCCTCCTGAAATTGAGGAATTTGAAGGAGACAAAAACTTTTGCACTAATTAGACTAACTTATTTTAAATTTAACAGTCTTATTTCATTATTCTAAGTATCTCGTAGTAACCTTGTTTATTTTCCCTCATCTCCTCACCGCTTGTGAACCAAACAAGTTGTCTCTCTTTCAGTAAAATTATTCCTCTCCCAGCCTTTGAATCATCTATGCACTGTGTTTTATGGTAAGATTCAATTGTCTTCTAGTTCTCGATATAATTGGGAATTTGGGATTACATTGACAATTTAGTTTGTCTTTGGAATTCAATTCAGTTCAATTGAACACCAATCCATCTCCCCCATTCCTTCCAGGTTTCCTGCTTTGGAAAGTGGGAAGTTTCGTTTACAAGTTTCCAAACGGTTTCCAAACACACCCTTAATCTGGTGTGGAATTGAGTGGCTTGAGAATTCAGTAGATAGCAGCCGCAAATTTGGGTTGAAAATGTACCAAATGTATCGTCATTCAACGCTCACTGTCTCAGATGACAGAGCAAAAGAGTAATCCTGTTTGTTTTGGGTTGAATAATGATGTCTTCCACATGCTTTTTATATCATATCATGTTGAAATTTGAGGATCATGTAATGTTATAATCGAGTGCATTTTGAAATAACAGACACCAAAATGTTATTTACCTCCCTGGTTGAATATTATTACAGAAATTTTTTTGCATGTTATTAATTATTGGATGAGTGGATAGTATCTAATGGGGTTGTGGATGCAGGGTTTAATTGATCGAGTATATGCACGACTAGATAGTGATGATTACTACCGGGAAAAAGATCCTACACCCATTCTTGACATGGTTGAAAGCCCTCTTTGCTTGAAAAACTTATCTATAAAGGTTAGCTGTAAGCTCGATATCATTTTCATTTTGCTTTTACATCATTTGTAGTTTTGAAGTATCTCTTTCCTTAAATATTTTTCTTTGCAGGAACTGAAACAACTTGTAGTTGAAATCCGTTCAGATTTGTCTTTTATTGTGTCAGGTACACAAATATCACCGAAAGCAAGTATGGCAGTGGTGGAGCTGACAGTTGCATTACATCATGTTTTTCATGCTCCGGTAGACAAGATATTGTGGGATGTTGGGGATCAAGTAAGATTTTAAAATTATAAGCAAAAGTGCAAGTGCCCCTTTCTTGTTTTAAATTTCCGTCTCTCCTTTTGGGGGTCAAATTTGATGCAAATTGCAGAATGTTAAAATAATTATTTCCTAGGAGTTCATTTTGTGGCAAACCAATGAATATTTCATTTTCCTAGTGTTTATTTTCTAAGAATTCAATGAATGACCTGGTTTGGATAATGTAAGTATTTCATTATGTGTTCAGACATATGCACATAAGATTCTTACAGGAAGGCGAGCACTCATGAAGACAATGAGAAGAAAAAATGGCCTTTCTGGTTTTACTTCTAGATTTGAGAGTGAATATGATGCATTTGGTGCAGGTCATGGATGCAACAGTATTTCTGCTGGACTTGGTAATTTGTTAATCCTTTTCCCTTTTTGATAATATTTGTTTCTTCAAACACTATTTAGACTTTGTTCATATTGTTTATATTGTCATTCACTGGTCTGAGTATGTGTTTCTGGGTTGATAAATTATACTTTTCTTTTTGGCCAATGAATAAGGCCACTTCACATTTTCCTTTCTTGATTAATCAATAAAATTCTTAAAGGTGAAGTTTAAAATGACCTCAAAATCATAAATAGAATATTTATTTCAGGCATGGCAGTTGCACGGGATATTAAGGGTAGGCGAGAACGCATAGTTGCAGTTATCAGCAATTGGACAACTATGGCTGGTCAGGTGTACGAGGCAATGAGCAATGCAGGATATTTGGACTCAAACATGGTTGTGATTTTGAATGATAGCCGCCACTCTTTACTTCCAAAAATTGAGGAGGGCCCAAAGACATCTGTCAATGTCTTATCTAGTACCCTAAGCAAGCTCCAGTCCAGTCAATCTTTCCGAAGATTTAGAGAAGCTGCAAAGGTATGCTTCTTTTCCTCCTCCTTTGCAAGAAAAGAATGGTAGATAGCTGCAAATTAGTCTTCAGTATTTGTTGTTTGCATGAAAGGTCCAAATGATAATGCCAAGTCATTCAACTTTCAAGTGAGCCTACCAAAAAAAGCATGTTTAAATACTAAATAAATCATAACTTTTAGTACAAAATGGATTAAATTAGTACATTAAGAGTAATGATATTATGTATGATATGGGCCTGTCAAAAATATTCATCACTTTGTTTTAATAGTGTGACAACTAACATTTGCCTCTGTGTGCACTATGAAAGATAAATAAATGTGCAAATCTGCTTTACATTCCCCCAAATGTGTGGTTTGTATGTGCATCTTTTTCTAGCATTTCTATATTACCTTGTGTTGAATGAGTGATATGATGGTCCCCAATAAGTAATTATGATGGTCCCCAATAAGTAATTATGATGCTCCTTCTTTTAGGTCCCAATTTTCATATCTCAACGTTCTGCTTTATATCCAAATTATGTTCAAGTAAGTGACAGTTTGTCTGCTTTATGACAGGGTGTTACAAAACGAATTGGTAGAGGTATGCATGAGTTGGCTGCTAAAGTTGATGAATATGCTCGTGGTATGATGGGTCCTCTAGGTTCTACTCTTTTTGAAGAGCTTGGATTGTACTACATAGGCCCAGTGGATGGACATAACATTGAAGATCTAATATGTGTTCTGCAAGAAGTAGCTTCCCTGGATTCAATGGGACCTGTCTTGGTACATGTAACAACTGATGAAAATCAGGGAGATGAAAACAGTTGGAAAAGTGATATAACAGACAGGCAGCAGGACGATGGTATTTTTTTTGGTACTCTGATAATTATATTGTATTAATTGTTACATTGCATGTTATTTCTTATAAAATAGTTTATCCAGTCATGATGAGTTTTCCCTACTTTTTTTTTTTTGGTTTTCCACTCCTCCCCCTGGTTGTGTGCTTATTTCAAATACTTAAGCCTTTCAGAAAAGGAAACGAATCTCTTGGTTTACTGATTAGCTTATAGACAGACTCTATGCAGTAGCTAGAAGACACCTTGCTTATAAAGGATATGATACTACATGAACAACAAACAGCCTCATCCCACTAAGTGTAATTTGCTATGTAGAGTATTTGACACGATTGGACACTGCCAAAAACTTAGTTTCGTCAACACCATTTAGAGTATTTTTTTTTCCCACATGTTTTCTCTGAATCTTTTCATAGGTTTTCCTGAATCCCTTTTAATATTATTTCCAAGCTTTTTATCCTTATCCTGATACAAGTTGAATCCAGCAGTGCACATAGTTTGCATCTTATCTGGATTCCGCTGCATAATTTATTTAGGTGCAGTGCCAAATCTTCTGAATGTCAGGATACTACAGTTTAGCCTCTTTATGGGATTGACCTTCTTACTATTTTGAAATTTTAATTGACATGTGATCATACATACAGTTATTTATAAGTTGTCTATGTTTACTTTTTCAGATTCTGTTAAATTTGATTCATTAGATAATGTTGTTCCGCCTCAAACATTTGGCGATTGCTTTGTGGAGACTCTGGTTGCCGAAGCAGAGAAAGACAAAGATATTGTCGTTGTTCATGCAGGAATAACGATGGAGCCATCGCTTGAACTGTTTCGGGAAAATTTTCCAGAAAGGTTTTTTGATGTGGGAATGGCTGAGCAACATGCAGTCACATTTGCCTCTGGTTTGGCATGTGGTGGTTTGAAGCCATTTTGCATTATACCTTCTTCCTTTCTACAAAGAGCCTATGACCAGGTCCAAAACCTTATATCAGTTTAAAGCCTTAAACTACCAAGATATATTGCTCCCGGACCATTTGGATTCCTTTGAGAACAATATATTTATAGTTGATATAAATTTAAATTTAATGTTTCTATGAACAATGAATTTAATGTGGACTTGTGGAGCATTAACCATGAAGAGTGGACAGTTACCAGCACTATCATCCTTATTACTTGTATGCTTAATGGATAGTTAGTGCACATTACATACGATTTGATATAAATAATTACGATGTTTAACATGTTACATATCACGTATAGGTGGTGCATGATGTTGATCAACAGAGAATTCCAGTGCGATTTGTCATCACAAGTGCAGGATTGGTAGGTTCTGATGGTCCCCTCCAATGTGGAGCATTTGATATAACATTTATGTCATGCTTGCCAAACATGATTGTCATGGCACCAGCTGATGAGGTTGAACTCATGCACATGGTGGCTACTGCTACTCGTATCAACAATCAGCCCATCTGCTTTCGATATCCAAGGGGTGCCCTGGTTGGGAAAGGCCACGCTATAGGCGGTGGAATCCCCCTCAAGGGAATTAGGTGGCACTCTATTTTCTTGATACATTGTGAGTTATAATGAAACTTTGAAAAGGGTAAACTAATCAAAAACCTAAGGAAGCGACATTCATTTCTAAATTCTAACATTCCCAACGATTTGTCATAATATTTTTTAATGCATCTTCCTTCTCTAATTTTGGAGTGGCTGTAATCTATTCATGTACAGAGCGGAAGAGGAAGAGTTCTTGTTGAAGGTAAAGATGTTGCTTTCCTAGGATATGGATCGATGGTTCAGAACTGCCTAAAGGCTCATTCACTCCTTGCAAAGCTAGGCATTGAGGTGACTGTTGCTGATGCAAGGTTCTGCAAGCCCCTTGACATCAAGCTTCTGAGGCAGCTTTGTAAAAATCACTCTTTTCTAATAACTGTTGAAGAAGGATCCATTGGAGGTTTTGGTTCCCATGTTGCTCAGTTTATTGCACTAAATGGACTGCTTGATGGAAGAATAAAGGTAATTAGTTCAACCTATGCGGGAAGGCTATACTTCTTTTATGGTTCTTAGCAAATTTGGGATTGTGCATGTGCTATTCGACTTCTATTTATAACCGGCATAAAGATATGAAACAAACAAATTTCTGTACCTCTTTGAATTTCTTGGTGGGTACATATAGGTTTATCTTTTCATAGCGCTCTAATATTTCTGTTGTGTTGTGTTCCTGAATGCTGGATCTTAAAAATTTGGTGTGTATGCATATGCAAGTAGCTTGGCTTCCCTTTTAAGCAGCATATTGTTTAATTTATATTGTTCTAAATATGGTTTAGTAATTTTACATAAATTGTGTTTGGTGCATTTTTAAATATACATAGCTGATAGCTTATTTGACATGAGTATATGTGTGGTAACCCCTAATGCTCAACAAGTGATATCAGAGGCGATGGTCTGAGGTGACCGGCTCGACGAGTATGATGATTGGTGGATCCAAGTTTGGGATCTCTTGTGTCGAAAGTCTTCCTAACAGTAGGTCCATGTGGAAGAGAGGCTTCCTATTAACATGGAGGGTTAGGAGGTGTGTCCCGCTGTCATGAGGGAGGTCATGATGGAGTGACGGTGCAAGCACTCTGAGCGTGAGTGAGCTTTGTGGGGCTACCATCGGATAATACTCGTAGTTTCTACTGCAGGAATGAGTTAAGCTGTGGTCCTTTGTTTGAGAAGAGGATTATTGGGATGCAAGCAAAGTTCCACATCGTTCAAACAAGAGGATGGTCATGAGTTTATATACACACAATTGTCTCCATTGGTTGAGAGGCCTTTTGGGTGATGTCTAAAAGTAAAACCGTGAGGGCTTGGGCCCAAAATGGATAATATCTCACCAATGTGGAGACATATGTATATGTAACCTCCCGATGCTCAACAGATACAAATTTAAAAACGTTTATGGAGACTTTTTTATTATAAAAGTTTTCATAAACGTTTTTAAAACAGAATCTAATTTTTTTTTTTTTAATGTAGTTTCTGATTATTATTACTTTTTGTGGATGAACCCTTGCAGTGGCGACCAATTGTGTTACCAGACAGATATATTGAGCATGCATCACCAAATGAACAGCTTGAGCAAGCAGGGTTGAGTGGACATCACATTGCTGCCACAGCATTGAGTTTGCTAGGCCGTACCCGTGAAGCTCTCCTATTTATGTGTTCCTGACTTAGATGGAAGGAGAACCATGAATGCAGCAAATATGTCACCAAGGTCATTTTCTTTGTATATACAACTGGTGTTAAATAGTAAAATGGTAAGATTAGCGGGAGTTGTGATTTTTTGGACACCCCAACAATGTAAATACCTAATTAACACATCATTTTGTCCAAAAAGTATAAATTTTACCTCGTATCACTTGCGATATGTATCACCTACTCATTTATTTTTTCTATCCGAGTGACTAACAAACAGTTTCGGACTATGGACTATGACACTCTAACAAATACCATTACGTATGATGCATGAACGTTATATATCATAACTACGATGCATGAATATTATATGTGAACTTCAGGAATCATCTTTTAATGAGAACTTACGTGTGATGTGACTTGCTGAACGTTTATGAAATAATAATAATCATAACAGTGTATACCATGTATTTATTTTATTTTATATTTATTCCTTAAACTCTTTCACCCCTGTCCAACTATGTGGCACTGTATATATATATACAAAATATTTATTTATTTAAGGGTAAGTTTATTTAGATTTATTTTATTTAATAATTTATATTTTATATTAAATTTCAACGATCAAGTCTTTGAATTTAAAATTTTTAATATATAGATCAAGTATACAAATTTTAAAAAATTTAAAAATTATTTGATAGTTTATTTCACTAATTTAAATTAACGGATAATCATAAAAATATCTTATATGTTCATTTGAATAAATTAGACGAAATATCAAATAATTTTTAATTTTTAAAAAAATTTATAGACTTATTTCACTAATTTATATTAATCGAAATATGTTATCCAAAGGATTTTTGCAAAAAATTGTATTTTGTAATTGACTTAATTTTGTACTTAAAATAACTCGTTATTTTTCTAAATAAGAACTCATATATTGCATGCCAGATCTAATAATTAATGATCATGATTGATAATCAAAATATATTATCTAAACATATGACGAAATACAAATTTTGTGATTCTGGGAGCTCAAGAAAACATAATAGTTTGGTATAAAATCTCCATTTTATAGCAAAGATATGAAAAATATATTTTTGAATATTCTGACTTTGGACAAGCGACTAAGTTATCTTTAGTGTGCTTTATAAACTAGAGTATTTTGACACCTGTCTTCGAGTCTAGAATAATTTATCTAAGACCACATAAATAAAAAACTTTTGGTCTTCCTCTAAACTCTATGACAATTCTTTGTCCAGTGTCTTTCTCCATTAGAACATTTTTATGTTCTGTAGTCTTCTCCAATGAAGTTCTATCATTTATATTTTCTTTTTTAATTTTTTTTGCCTAATTCTGACACCAAGTTCTATGTTAATAACACTCAATCAATGCTTATTTTTATTTTAATTATCTTTTGTTTTCCTTTTTTTTAATATCATTTTCTCTACCTTTGATTGTTGATTCAAACAATTTATATAGGTGATTATAATATTTTTTTATTTGTGCTGGTCTACTAGTGAAACTTCGAGAGTGTTTTGAAAATTCAATAAAAATGCAAGACTAATGACTATATCAAATGTGCAATGTTGAAAGAATTTGAATGTGAAAAATTCTATAAAAAAATAAATAAAATTGACACATAACAAAACTCAAGGGTGGGTTTATTCTAGTTATATGTTACTGTTTGTATAACACTGTAATTATTTGTCTAAAAATTATTATATTTATTGCTAATTAATAATAAATGTGTCATGATTGTTACCGATTGAATAGTATAAAAATAATATATATATATATATATATATATCTTTAAAAAAAAAGGAAGTAATAATAGTTGGCAAAGTTTATTTGTTATCTTGAATTATTTTTTCGTTACTTATTTGTTATCCGATTATTTATTACTTGTTACTTATTTATTTATTTATTATTATTAAGAATTAGATAACTAAAATTATAAAAAAAGAAATAAAATGGTAAGTTGGCAGTGCAGATTTTGTCACAATATTTTAGATGAATATTATCCATATCACTTTTCCATTACATTTTAAATAAAAAATTTTACTTCCCCCCAGTTAGCTTTAATGAATTTATTTTTTATTTTTTAAATAAATAATGAAAAAAATAGAAAAAAATAATAGTCATTAAAAAATACAATAATTCAATTCTATTGCATGCATTAATTTATTTTTCCCGTTTGCATTTGAAATTAAATATAATTACTAAAACTTTATTTGAATTATAATAATGGATAATTATTATAATAATAATTATGATACAATTATAATTATTATACTACTAAATTAAATTTATAACTTTCACCCTATTGTTATACTTGAATAGTTAGTTGTATGGTAAATTTTGATACTAATTATTATCTTTTCAATTACATTTTGAACAAACAATGTCAACAGACAAAAATTTAACTCATAAAAAATGTGTAAGTCACGAACAAGACAAATCATTACACATCAACTCAGAAGATATGTAAGTCAGAAACAACTTAGCCATCACACACAAAATTGAAAGACATGTAAGTAAAAAAAGGCTAAAACCCTAATTTGGTTCCTTATAATATTAAAAAATTTTAATTTGATCCTACTTTAATTTTTGGTTTCAATTTAGCCCCAATTTATTTAAAATACTTTAATGTGGGACTTCCGTCTAAATTTCACAAACGACGTTAAAGGTCCGTGAGAATCACGCTCGTGATTCCAAATCACGCCTGTGATTCTCACGTCGCAATGGCCAGGCGCAACCACGTCGCACTGCGCTACCTCGTTTCCACCATCCCTCGCCTCGCCAGGCCCGGGAAGGGATACGTCTCTCCACCTCGCGGTGAATCTCAGGGTTTAGGGTTTTTTGCCGAGATTCTCATGTGCGCTGGCGCAGATTTGGAGCTTCCAGAACGACAATGGGAGGTCACGAAGGCATTGTTGTGGTGGTCCACAGTGACGTCGTTCACCGCATCGACGTCTTCAGAGGGGACCGGGGAGAGGAAGAGGCGGCGATTTCACCGATGAAGGTCGATGATAACTGGGAGAGGGAGGTGTACGAAAAGGTGGAGGTGAACGTGCGACGGTTTTTGACGTCGATAATGATTGGATAACGAAGAACGAGATTTAACACCATGCGTGAGAATCACGGTCGTGATTTGGAATCACGAGCGTGATTCTCACAGACCTTTAACACCGTTTGTGAAATTTAGACGGAAGTCCCACATTGAAGTATTTTAAATAAATTGGGACTAAATTGAAACCAAAAATTAAAGTGGGACCAAATTAAATTTTTTTAATATTATAAGGGACCAAATTAGGGTTTTAGCCTAAAAAAAACCTAACCATCACGCACAAGATTGATTCGAAAGATGTGTAAGTCAAAAACAACCCGACCATCACGTACAAAATCGACTCAAAAAGTCATGTAAGTCAAAAACAATTTGACCATCACAACACAAATATTGACTCAAAAAAACGTGTAAGTCAGAAACAATCCGAACACAAAATCGACTTGAAAAGACATATAAGTCGAAAACAACTCAATCATCACACCCAAAATCAACTTGGAAGACATGTAACTCAAAAAAAACATGACCATCGCACATAAAATTGACTCAAAAAGACGTGTAAGTTAGAAATAATCTAATCATCACACAAAGATGTGTAAGTCTGTAACAACTCCATTATAGTAAAAATAGCTAACAAATAAATTTATTGAGTCATGTTGAACATTGTCCCAAAAGACTTATCCGTAGTATCTATGCAAGTCTCTTAAGGATACGAGAAAAACATCTCAAAATAGAACTGAGGCTGCAAAATTAGCAAAATGAAATTTTAGATTTCAAAGCAAAAAAAGAGACAAGATATGTGAGAGAGAAAAGAGAATTTTGCTCGGTGTGTCTTTCTCCTTCAATAGAGACACCTATTTATAGAGGGTTGGGGCATCAAACGAAAATAAAAATTATTTAAGTAGAATAATGAGTAATAAAGCACCAACAATGAGAAAACAAAAAATATTAAAATGAAATATTATGAATAATCAATTTTAAAAGATGCTAAAATTATTATTCCCCTTAAGCTCTTATCTCACATGTAGGGTGGGCATATCGGCTAATTTTCATTACAACATACTCACTTAACCCATGTACATGGTGCAAGTTTCACCACTCTTGTTAGCCTCTTCGTATGCCTATATCACAAATTAATATATAAACCATTTTCCAAAAGTAATACTAGTCAATGTGAGACTTCTTTCTTTTGTAATACCTTATATACAACACTATCACACACAAAATAGACTCAAAAAGATGTGTAAGTTTAAAATAACTTGACCATCATACAAAAAAATCAACTCAAAAAGATGTGCAAGTAAAAACAAACCAACCATCATGCACAAAATCAATTCGAAAAGATGTGTAAATAAAAAACAATCTAACCATCACATATCGACTTAAAAAATGTGTAAGTCAGAATCAATTCAACCACGCACAAAATCGACTTAAAAAATTGTGTAAATCAAAAATCTTATGATTTTAAAAACCTAAAAAGACATAATAATTGAATATTAAATCTTCATCTTAAGATAAGCCAATAATAATACACTTGTAAATATTTCAACTTTAAACAAATAGTTAAATTAACTTTAGTGCATTTTTCATAAAAAAATCACAATCATCAAATTCTGGCTGTGTCCATATATATATATATATATATATAT